CCCCCCCCCACCCACTTCTCGTCCCAAAAACAACGAGACCTAATCTTCCTTTAATTTAAAACTTTGAATGAACATCTGGTTGATTTTGTAGCCCAAAATTGTTTACTTTTGATAAGATCATCTTATCAGAGTCTGATCCGCGTTCAATCAGTCATGTTGAATGGGTTTTGACTTATATTCTTTAATCGGACAGAATTTACTGTCATGTTATTTAATGCACATGAACCGGCCGCGAGAATTGCAATGGATCGTGCACGTAGATTGAAAGAGAGCAAACGGATAGATATCTTGTGTCTACACAAAAAGTTGGAAAGGAATTCATATACTTAATTCGGATTTTTACTGTTTTATGTGCCTCATCGGGAGTGAATTTCAAGGACTTTTTGTCCGTGAAATACCTCCACTTGCAACGTCATTTTGTGCAGGCGTAAGACGTTGGTAGGTATCTCCTCCTTCGGTATACGCCACGTGTAAAGATTGGTTGGGGTACTCCCTTTTTCGGTATATCTCACCTAGTGTACGTGTGAGGGAGAAGGGGGTATCGTTTTACCGTACCAGCATGTTTTCGGTTACTGTTATGCCATAACTGTCATTACTGCTAAAAATAAACAGGCTTTTGCCGGAACAAGCAATATCTAACGTAAAATACACAATGTAATACGAAATCCAAAGTTCAGTGCTATGTAATAAGCATTTTAAAACGTTCTTGTTCAAAGTCTTAATATCGCAATGTCCTTTCAGTACTTTCTTGGCAGAAGAGATGCTAGACTCTGAGATTTTCCTCGGGTTTTTTTCTTTTTTTTTTTTTGACGCGTAGTTAAGACGTAGAATTAAGAGCAATCGCTTGTTTAGTCATTTTGTTTTTAACCGTATCAGCGTGTTTTCGGTTGTTATTGCTATACCTTTTTATTGCTACACAATACTTTGCCGGACAACAACTAGCGTCAAATCGAGTCTAATATTCTAAATACACGATGGTCTAAGCTCAGTAGGATGTAAAAAGTAACTCAAGTTCCTGTTGAAAGTCTTAGTACTGCATTGTCCTTTCTGTAATTTCGTGGTTGAGGAGATGCCAGACTCTCCAGATATTCCAGTGCATTTTTTTTATTATTCTAAAAGATTCCCCGTAGGGATCATGACCCCCTTATTAGTATGGAAAAAAAAAAAATTAGTTTTATCATTACCCCTTGTGCAATTCAGTGGGCAGACTAATTTTGGAAGGGAAACTCAACACGATGGAGGCGAATTTTCAGGAATTTCTCTAGGCGATTACACAAATTTAAAAGTGTCCCAAAATTTATGATTGAGCCATGTAGTTTTGATACAGCCACGGGTTGCTGCACCCTGGGACCCAAGATCCAGTCCACAGTTTCGTGGCCCACTCCCTCAGTTTGAAAGCCATCATAATAAAAGCTCTGACCGAAGTCGCGTACCAGAGGATACGTTTTCAGCTGCCCGTTTGGAATTGCAAAAGAATATGTGGCACTCTGTACTGACCTTTCTTTAACGACAGAATGAATTTTAAGTAATCATTTTCAACAATAATGAGGATCAGCGGTGTTGGTTACCACATGAATTTTTATTTGAAATAGCCCATTACAATTTGCGTACAATTTCAAATATCACAAAAAGCTGCAGCCCTTATAACACAGTGCTGCACCCTTTATTACATAATGCGCACATCATTACAAAATGCCGCGATAATTACAGTCGAACCTCTCTAATACGGACACCGAAGGGACAGAGCAAAGTGTCCGCATTAGAGAGGTGTCCGTTGTATAGAGGTCATGAATATTACGTCACTTTAAAGGCTCCATTGACGGTATTAATCAAGTGTTCTTTAAGTCAAAACTGGCCCAAAGAAGTCTTTGAGGTGCATTTAAATTGTTTAATGGACAGTACAAATCATTACAATACAAGCTGTACAATTCCAAAAACATATGGCAAACTATAATACAGTTAATTTCCGAACAGTAACATAATAAAACAGTAACAAGTGTAGCGAACACTAGCATACAGTAGAGTATTTAATGAAAGTTCTTTGTTATTGATTCATTTTGCGTTAAAGAAGTCTGTAATGTTCCTCTGAACAGCATTCGCTAGTCGTTTTTTGACATACAACGACTGAGCTTTGGAAATAATCTTGCATAACTCATCAGCCAAATTTGATTCACCTTGTGCAGTAAAAAAATCAGAAACATGGTTAATTAAGTTCCGAAGAAGCCTCACCATATGACTTCACTTTTAGCGGCTCTGGCGCGTGAAGATTATCCAGCCCCAAGATCTCTTCATCGTCACTGTCTGCACCTTCATTGTCACCATTTGAGTCTGATGACAAACTTGATAGATACCTTTCCTCCCGGTTTTCACCTAGCTCTTGACAGACTGGAAGAAGACTTTCGTTTGCAATAGCTTCGTGTGCTGACACGGCAGTGTCACCACTTGACTCGTTCAGTAACGTCTCAACCTGAGAAACCTCATCTTCCAGGTCTGCAAATGGGTCCTCGTCATTCGGCGGTTCTACAGCTTCAACTACATTTCTCTCTTTGTCTAGCACTCCCGCATTAACAAAACACTTGATTATAGTGGATGGCTCTACGGCTTCCCAGGTCTGTCCTATCCATCTGATGGCCTGTGGTACGTTCACAGACTTGCACAAATCTCCAGCTGTTTCACAGTCATCAATTAGGCTGACCACGTGAGTCATCATCAGCTTTACGTACTTTAGCTTGAAGGATTGAATAATCCCCAAATCTAAAGGCTGGAGCCTCGAGGTGCAATTCGGAGGAAAAAATACACAGTTATTGTTCGGATATTTGCCTTTCATGTCGTATGGGCGACAAGATGCATTATCAAGTAGCAAGAGAGCACTTCGACTTTCACTCTGATTCAGTTTTGTCAAGACTTGGTCTAGGATATCGAAATCCATCCAAGCCTTTTTTTGATGAAAGTAAATGCATGAAAGTTTCGAAAGATCTTTGATGCCTTTAAAACAACGGGGATTTGCTGACTTTCCGATTACTATCGGTTTCTCTTTACCCCCTGCGGCATTTACAAAGAACGCACATGTAATCCTCTCCTTGGATTATTTGCCACCTCTGCACTGCTTTGCTGCTTCAGAAAGGGATTTGTTTGGTAACGCACGGTAGAATTTTCCTGTCTTATCCGTATTAAGAATGTCTTGGGGGCTGTAACCTGCGAGTATTACTGGTAACCGCTCTTTCCAAGACTGAACTGTTTCCTCGCGTACTTCTCCCGATTCGCCGCTCACAGTCATTCCCTTAATGTTCTATCGGATCTTGAATTTTTCTAGCCATCCATTTGAAGCTTTAAACTCTTGCTCCACGCCTATTTGAGCGGCTACGGCACAGGCTTTCTGCTGTAAAGTTGGTCCCGAAACAGGACTGTTCTTACTTTAGCCTTTCTGAACCACTCCAACATTGCCAAGTCGATGTTTTGAAATCTGCATGTTCTAGCTCTCTTG